CCATAGGGGTTTTTAATATTAGTTGCGACCTACTTAATTTTAAAATAGGTATAATCTTTGACAATGAATGTTAATGGTATAATTCTACTAGATAATGGATTTATTCTACCTACTGATGAAATATTTGAAAACTTGATAAATTGGTTAGACAATCAAATAAGAAATCTTACGTCATAAATCCTTGATTTGCAAAATTTTCATTTTATGGAATTCAAACAATTTGTATATATATTTTCTATGCTATTCCTTTCCTACTCCTATCCGCTCAAAAATTCCTTTATTTCCAACTAATTTGGTTAATTTAGAAAATATTAATTTTTTTATTCATTTTTTATTGTTCACTTTTTATTATTAATGATTTTTATTAAACGATTATTAATCTAATTCGGTACATAGTGCTAGGATGCCATATTCATTTTTATTAAGCCAAAATGTTTTGCTTGTCAAAGTCGAAATTATTCCAATGTCAAAGTCAAAAGTATTTATGACAGTGTCAAATAAGTAGTGAAACTCGGAGACTGCACTGCAAGAGTCCCACCAGCTTATACCAATTATAAAAGCTGCTTACCAGCTATTACTTGCTGACTAATTTTCTGGCAGAGTGTCTCTTGTTTACTCCCAGTTGCACACGATTTATTTGCAGATGGTTTCTGGTTGAGTGTCTCTTGTTTTCTCCCAGCTGCACACGATAATTCCAATATAATATATACAAGAAATAAAGAAATATATACAACTATGCTACTTGAAGTGTCCTCTACAAATAATCACAGTAAAAGAAAAAGGCATCCCAACTAATGATTAATGGTTGGCCAGACCATCAATCATCGGGGGGAGGGGAAATTTGACACAATTTGCAATAGTTTTACTAACTATGCATAAATAAAAACATACATCTCAACAATCGCATTGAAATTAGATAAAAATAGATTCATTTGAAAGCCCATTATTTATTTTATTAGATGTAAAAAAATTAATAAGAAATTCTATCTCCATTTTTTGTAATATTAATTCACAACGATTTTTCATAGATTTAATTAAATTTTGTACAGTTTCTTGGGGGATTCTTCAACCATAAATTGTTTCAACTCACTAGTATTTCCTGGCATTCTTCTTTCTACATTATTTTTTACGATCTGCCACATATTTTCAATGGGCTTCAGATCGGGACTGTTGGATGGCCAGTCTAAAACATGAATATTATTTTGGGATAAAAAGTTTTTTGCAACACGCGAAGTGTGCTTAGGATCATTATCTTATTGCAAATGCCCTTAGCTTCAAAATGACATCTTGTTTTTTGATCATGGGTTAATTTATATATGTATGTATATATATATATATATATATTGATTTGAATTTCTAGAAATATTTGAATTTGAATTTTCTTATTACTTGCCCTTTAAATTTTGTGCGAAACATCATTCACAAGGTCCAGTTGTGAATTATACACTATACATTCAATTTGGAACAAAAAACGATACCCGAAGCGAGATAATAATGATTCAGTGAATAATATATATAGGTAAATAGGGTATTCATTAACAATTTCAAGTATTATATATCAAGAATTTGGAAAGCATGGTGAAAGTAAACTCATGTCTGAACAACTTCTCACAACCTATTTAACATGGAAAAAAGAATAAATTTGTTGCCGAAACAATAGAAATTGGATAAAAAAAAACAATCAGCTGAAAAGGAACAAAATAATAAATGTATTTCACTGCCTCAGATTTAATATTGCTCTTTCTATTACTGGAAGGCTACACTATATTCTTACAATAACCTCTAAATATATAGTGCACACAAATAGACTCAATCCCGTGAAACACCCATCGAGTCCTTATAATTGCATGAAATAATCCTAACTTGGACAGAAAGGGAGAGACTGATTAATTAATCTAATATGAATAATAATGGCAATAATAATGCAAATAAAATACTAATACAATTGCTGTAGTTGTAGGTGCATTATTATTATTTACCATTTTTTGGTCTTTTAGCGCGTAACCAAACTCGTCGAAAAACCGAAAATGATGTATGGCTCAACAAAATCCTGGATTATCAAAAAATGCGACAAGTTCAATTACACCTGCAAATAAAAAAGTAAAAAAATTAAAAAAAGTAAAAATTGCGCACTTTATACAGCCATTGTTATGTTTGCTATTCATTATCATTATCATTATTATTATCATTATTATTATTATTATATTTTTATTAAATTTACTGCTTGGATTTTCCAGATAGTTAATTGTTTACAAATAGTTATTGAAAAAAGTAAGACTTTTTCCCATGGTTATTTTATTGGACCTACTGTTAGAACCTTTCAGATATATTGTTTCTGACGAGATTGTTGTATACGAGAAAGAATATTATAGTGATGACAAATATAAAGAATATTGAGAATTCGTAATTATTCTTTTCTTCTCTTCTTGCTCGACTATTCAATTCCCTCGACTCCTTCTTCAAATTGTTTAACCTCTTCAACTTTTCCCCGGCCTTTTCCAATCTCTTTTTCAATTCCTTTTCGATTTTTTCCAATAACAATTGTTTATTAAAAACTTTGTGTAATGATAACAATTGGGAATCACAAACACGTTCAATTTCTAAGAGATTTTACAATGGAAATTTTATCTATGTGACTTTAAAAAATTTGAGTTTGGTGACTGAATGCTCTGTGAGAAACCCAATCGCCAATAGTTGTGGTTGTCCCAAAAATTATTAACGTATAAAAGCATAATTTAAGCACAAATAGCAAAAAGAAATGCAAAATTTGCAAGACAAAAAAATAATCCTGGACACTCTAGCTTGCTGTCAGACTTGATAGACACGTCAATAAATGCTGTGAACCGTAAAACTGTAACATCAAAACCATAAGGCCGTGATTGTTTGATATTAATGTATAGTATTATAGAAATAGCCGCAAAGGTCATCATGCCATAACAAGTTACATCATAAATAGCTTCCTTTTTTCTTTTCTTCTCAAAGATTAAATAATAAAACGATGCAAAAACACAGCTATAATATAATAATGTTGTGAATGTGAATATCTTCTCCAAAGAAAACAATACAATTTCCTTTATAGATAACAAAAATTTCTGCACATATGAAAAAGCTATTTATTATTAATATACAAAGGGAAATACAAATTCAAAAAGTGAAATTTTTTTGAGCGAGTAACTTAAGTAATATTAGAAATAGGAATATAGAAGTAGGAATAGGAATAGGAATAGATAGCAAAGAATATATATACACAATCGTTTGAATTACGTGAAACGTAAAAGAATCATTCAAAAATACAAAAAAAGCTCGCACCACTTTACCAATTTCTTTCTTACGCTAACTAGAGAATTTCGGAAATCTCCTGCTTGTTTTTGTTGCTCAATTTGTTCTAGTAATTTTTCGTTTCTTAATTTATCATCTCCAATCTTTTTTCCCATCAATTCAATTTGATGTAAATTTGGTTCACTCAAAGATGTTGTTGTTTCTTTTTTTGTTTTGAATTAGTTGGGCAATATCATATTTCATTCAATGTGAGCTTTATGATTATTTTTGATTTTCTTTTTCTAATTCAAAATTTCATGTTTATTATTACTGACTTAAAGAGAATCAAAGGTCTATTGAAAAACACCAAATATCAATATTCTTGATATTTAATTTTGATTATGTAGAATGCTTTTATTTTCTAATCTTACGGGAGATTCTACAAGGAGTAAAGGTTCTAAGGAATTGGTTTTCATTTTTTTGACTGCACGTGCATTATGAATTAGTCTTTTTCTTTTATTGAGCTTTGGCATTTTATTAAACACGAAGGCTTTTACAAAATATAGCTTATTCAAATGCTGATTAATTCTAAATATTTTTTTATTTAAAACTTGGATATTTTATTTTTTTACAATTATTAATAATAATAAAGGCGTGAAAAAAAAAATTCTAATTTGGGATTCGATATAAATATTTCGAAAATCTTGACAAATGTTTATTATTAGTCTTGCATGTTTTTTTTTTGAAAATCTTATTTATTTTTGTCAAACGCACTAACCTACAGTTTTTCAAAAAAGGAATCTTTTACAGTCCGTTTTATAACTATGGAAAATCGATCGATATTTAATCGATTACGACTTTATGACGGTGAATAATGAGGCGACGATGGTGAATAACTTGGTGACGTTGGTGAATATGTTGGTGATGTTGGTGAATAATGCACAGAAGGAGCAGTAGCTGAATATCTTGGTGATGTTGGTGTATAATTAGGTGATGTTGGCGAGTAACTTGGTGAGGTGGGTGAATAATTTGGTGAGGTGGGCGAATATGTTGGTGATGTTGGTGAATAATGTGCAGAAGGAGCAGTAGATGAATATCTTGGTGATGTTGGTGTATAATTAGGTGATGTTGGTGAATAACTTGGTGAAGTAGGTGAATAATTTGATGTGGTGGGTGAATATTTTGGAGATGTTGGAGTATAATTTGGAGATGTTGGAGTGTAACTTGGAGATGTTGGTGAATAGCTAGGTGAATTAGGCGAATATGATGGACTGGTTGGAGAATATGATGGGCTAGTTCCAATTTGTTGTCTGTATGGTGTAACAATTGGCATATTCGTTGATACACCACCCATAATATTGTAACCTCCTGTAGGGCTTGTAGGTGAATAGGTTGGACTTGTAGGGCTATACGCAGGACTAGTGGGAGTGAATGATGATATTTGTGCTGGAATAGGTGAACTTGGTGAATATTGTGGAGATGTTGGTCCATACATAGGACTTGCCTGTTCATTCCATCCGTATAATCCTGCCCCAACCATAACAGGTTTACCACTACCGGAGTCCAAAAGTGGCGAAAATGCTGGAGAAGAAGGTTGATCAATTCTAGGCGATTTAGGACTAATATACATTGGTGTTGAGCCATAACCTCCAGGCGATTGAGCACCTAAAATATATGGAGTCATACTAGACGTTATACGTGGTGTCATGGCACCAAGATTATTTTTAATAGGATGTTGGATTTCTTCGGTGGTTTCACCAGTTATCATTCTTCTTTCACCAACAGGAGGAGTGTTCTTCAACATTTCTTGATCCAAATATACATCAAATTCACCTGTACCCAAAGGAGCCACTTGACCCAACATTATATTTTCCGCTACGCCTTTACAATCATCTACTTCACCAACTGCTGCTGCGTCAATTAATATTTCTACTGTTTCCTCAAAAGAACACCTCATCAATGCACCTGTCTCAGCACGATTTATACCATGACGTGTTATTGCCATTAGATGACCTCGAGAAGTCATCACATCACATAAAAGTGCCAAATGACGATAGTTCACATATGATCCATCAAACTCAATAACACCACGAAGTTCTTTTAATAAGGCAGCACGAGTAGCCTCAATACCCAATACTTGCATAATTTCCACACAGTTATTTGAATATGTACGTGTATAATCAACTTTTGGAACATTCAAAACCTCTTGTAAATTTGACCCATCAGTTTCCAGTACCCATTCATTTTCCTTAGTTATTTTACCCTCATTGTTGACATAAATGCGTGTTTTTTGACTTTCAATCAAATACACCCGATTGATTTTTTTGATACCTCTAAGACCGATAGTATTTAACATATTGTTTTCCACACGTTTTAAAAATACATCTTCCTCAATCTTTGTTCCATTCTCCTCTTCAATATGATCTTTTGTTGTACCCGGTTCACTTATTATTCGACAACGAATAATCTTCATGTCACTGTTATCATCATTCCAAATTGCATGTATATCTCTAGAAAAATCTTCTTGTATCTTGTGACCAACCACATCCATAGGCAATTTTTTATCAAGTAAAACTGAATGATTAAGTTCAAAACGTAGAACCCATGGTGATTGGTATCCTGTTGAAGAATTGTGGTTGTTATTTTCTTCCATCTGGAAAAACAATTCCACGAAATCTTTATCGGTCTCTATTAATGAAGAAAATGGTTCAGGATCGTACCAAATTTCTGTTTTTTGTGTGACGGTTTTTAATGTTGTGTATTCAATAATACTTTGAATTTCTTTTGCCAAGTACTCATCTCGTGAATAATTATCAATAAGGAAAATATGCACAGATGGTGTTTTTATATTTTTGGCGACGTTGATGATTTCTTTTAGACGAGGTACACCAAGCGTAACATTTTTACTTGACACACCAGCATAATGGAAAGTGTTTAAAGTCATTTGCGTTGCAGGTTCACCAATTGATTGTGCAGCTATTGTACCAACCATTTCGCCTGAAGCTACCAGTGCCTTTCTAAAACGTGATTCTATCTCACCCAATACCCATTGCAGAGCCTGTTGATTTAAATGATATTCTTCAATAACGCGTCTACTGGATAACCATGACCTCAGCAAAATTTTGAAAAGTAATGTGGCATTTTCCTGCGATTCTTCGCTAATCTTATCAGTTCCATTAATTACTTTTAATCTCTTGATTACTTCCTCAACACTGGAGATCACCTCAACATATTGAAGGTTAGATGCTATTTTCTGTGAGTTTCTTATATTGAATTTTTGTTGTGCGTTTTTTATAAGTCTTTTTATATTAACAGGCAATGGCCACCTATTGTCACCATTAGGAAATATAAATGTTTGTAACATTCTTCTATCTTCTTTTAATTGATTATATTCAGAAATTATTTTATCTTTAACAGATTGTTCAAGTGATTTTTTCGGTTTGTCATCAAGATTTTCTGTTCCTTCTTTTGTTTTGTCCTTTTCTGGTTCTTTTGGCAATTCAATCATATATTTATTATCGAAAACATCATTTGACAATTGTAATGTGTCAAGAGTTTGGGGTTCAACAAAACAAGCATCCATTCCATCTTCACCATAACAGAATTGTAATATATCACCCAATGAATTACGCACTGTTCCATCATACTTCACCATTACATCTTCTAACGCTTTTACCAATCGACGTTGGATATAACCAGTTTCTGCAGTCTTGACGGCAGTATCAATTAAACCTTTTTATTTATTTATATAAATATAAAATAATAGTTATAGCTAGCTACTATTATAATAGCAACAATTATTCTAACAATTATAATTATGATTACCTTCACGACCACCCATAGCATGAAAGAAGAATTCTTGTGGTGTTAAACCTCGTAAATAGGAATTTTCTACAAAACCTCTACTTTCTGGACTATGATCATCTTTTGTAAAATGTGGCAAAGTACGAAATTTAAAACCAAAAGGTATACGTTTACCCTCAACATTCTGTTGTCCGACACAAGCTGTCATCTGAGAAATATTAATGAAAGATCCTTTTGAACCAGCGATTACCATCTGTTTAACATTATTATCTTCACGTAAGCTTTTCTCGGCGCTTCTACCCGCAGAATCACGAGCTGTATTCAATTCTTTATTAATCCTGCTTTCAAATGTTTCTCTTATTGTCATACCAGGTAAACATTCTAATTTATTATTTTGAGCATCTATAATGATTTTATGTACTCGTTGTTTAGCTGCATCAATAGTTTGTGTAATTGTTACCATGGTTTCTTTATCTGCTATTGTATCACCTATTCCTATACTAAATCCATTTTGTAAAAGCCATTGATTCACAACAGCTTGACAACCGTTTAAAAATTCTTTGGCTCTCTCCGGGCCTAATTCTTGCATTATTACATGGACCAATCCTTGTTGGGATGTTCCAACAGTTCTTTTACAAACTATACCACAAAGCAATTCACCATCTTCTATTACTACTCTAGTGTCACCAGGTGAAATATCTGTATTCTCGTTGTCAGGATGAGTAGAATGACGAAGATTGTCAGAATTTATACCCTTAGGTATGATCATGCTTAGAATTTGTTTACCAGTCCATAAAGGATATGGTTTTATGATACATGGTATAGGAAGGATTCCATCCCAGTTAGATACCCACATCATTATATTCATCACAAGATCCTTTGTTAAAAAGCAATCTCTTTTTGTGAATTTACGAACAGCACATAAAGTATCTTGCACAATACCCATGACTGGTTTATTCGATTGGGGCGATACGATTTGTTTTGGTACCATGCAAATTTCGGATATTTCAGCTTTGGTTTCGACGGATTGAGGAACATGCATATTCATCTCATCACCATCAAAATCAGCATTATAAGGAGTTGTCACGGATAAATTTAATCGAAATGTTGAATATGGCATCACACGAACTCTATGTCCCATCATTGACATTTTATGTAATGACGGCTGACGATTAAATATCACTATATCACCATCGTTAATATGACGTTCCACTTTCCAACCTAATTGTAGTCTAACACTAGAGGCTGAGCTTAATGTGTACTTGAGATCTATTCTTTCGCCTGTATCTCTTATAACATATTTAGCACCAGGATGTTCGGTAGGGCCTCGTTCAACCAAACTTTGTAAATGTGGAAGATTAAAAGGCGTTACTAATTCTGGAAATGTTAAATTTTGAGCTATGCTACGAGGTACACCAACTTCATCAACCGATATGTTTGGATCACCAGTAATTACTGTACGAGCAGAGAAATCTACACGTTTACCCATAAGATTTCCTCTAAGACGACCTTCTTTACCCTTTAAACGAGCTCTTATGGATTTTAATGGTCTACCCGATTTTTGTAATGCCTGGGGTTGTCCAGCTATTTCATTATCCATATAGGTTGCACAATGAAACTTGTAGGAATAAAATAAAAATTCTAAATAAATACATTTATTTATTGAAATTTGTATCGACCGTTATCAATTTTTTGGAGTAACTAACCTGTAACAATGCTTCGAATTCGTTTAATACATGGTTAGGATGTCCTTCGGTTTCGCAACGTCTTACATTTTGGCTTGCTTTTAATATGTCTGATAATTTATGAGTTAAATCATCTTCACCTCTACCGGATCCATCAACTTGTATACTTGGACGAACAGGTGGAGGTGGAACAGGAAGTATTGTGATGATCATCCAATCAGGCCTAGCAAAATCTTCATTGAGACCCATGGCTACAAGATCTTGTGATGGTATTTTTTTGAATAAGGCATGTACCTGACTGGGTGTAAAAGGCTGTCTAGTGTCTTGAGCAGCTGCTTGTTCCTAAAAGCGAAAAAAAAAAATGAAACTGGTAAATAAAATAAACAGAACAAACATATATATATGTATGTATGTATGTACACATAAATATTTAATTATTTCTTACATCGCCTTCTCTATTTTTATATGAAATGTATAATTTTAAACCATCTTTACGGACAATAGGTTGACGAGAACCACAACCATTATGTGATTTCTTTCTTTTACCTAGCCCTAAATCTTCATCAGTTATAGGTAATTGTTGAATTGGCTTTATGATGGATGTATCAATTTCTTCGATATCATTGCTTTTCTCATTCTCATTCTCGTTGTTTTCACCTCGTTCACAAATCATTTTTGTTTTACAAATATCCCAAACTGCACGAAGACGACGTTTTGGGTCACGTATCCTTCTTGTTTGGATGAATTTTGAGTTGGACTATTGTTATGTGATTAATATATGTAGTTATTATTATCATTATTATTATTATCACCATCATTATCACTATTATTATTATTATTATATGAAAAAAGTGTATACAGATAGTGATGATATGACATTGGTGTTGATTGTTTTGATGAATGAGCATGAGAAAATTGATAGAATCAAAAATCATAACTATAAAACCATCATCACATCACCACCATCATCATGTTATGATCTTAAAAAGGATGACAAAACTCACTTCGTCAGTTTTCAATCTACCACAATTAAGACAGATACACTCCAAGATCTTTTTGACTTTTGGTAGAAATCCTATTTAAGTTGGTAGATCATGATTTTGTGAGATATTTAAATTTCAATAATAATAATAATAATAATAATAATAATAATAATAATAATAATAATAATAATAAATAACAATAATAATGATGGTGACAATAATAATAATAATAATAATAATAGTTTTCTCTTATAAACCAAAAAAAATTTACAATATTCATATAATAAACGCAATATATTTTTTTAAATAACTTTTGATAATTTTTATTATTATTTTATTATTGTATGTGTGTGTGTATATATATATTTCTATAAAAAATATCATACCAACGTGAAACACAGGTTTAGCGAGTTCTATATGACCAAAGTGACCAGGGCACTCTGACATGCCCTCTCCACAAGTTTGGCATTTAAAATTTCTATCAATAGTTCCCATACGTGGATCCAGTAAACCGCCTTGCTTAGGTCGACCGGTTTCATCCATAGTTTCAGGATGTTCGATCAAAGAGACCGACATTTGTTTCTAACAAGTAATAAAAATAACATACATAATGCATATATATTTTTAAATATATTTTTTAAATATAATCATAATCAACAATTTCTATTTAGATGGCTTTTTTCGATTTTTTTCCTAAAAAAAATTAATACTGATAAACCTACAATTTCTTCTGGCGATAATATTCCAAATTGTACATACTTTACTCGACGCAATGGTGCGGATGAGTAAGTAAACTGATGTCCATTCATAGTTGTAGGAATTAACGATGTAAATTGTAAAAGGAAAAAATAAATAATATGAGGCAGACTGCGACAGAACCAGACAAAGTGAACATACGACAGTAACACGAAGTAATTTCAGGGGCAGTGTAGGAAATTGCTTGCGGGATTTGTGTTACATAAAAAATGCGCACATTTTGTCAATCATCATCAAAAAAAAATTTTAAATGACTATCCAATGGTATCTACATGCATTTTGTTTCTCAATTTGTTTTTTATCAGATTTGTTTGTGAAAATATTCTTTCAACGTGTGCATTGGAAAAAGTATAAGAAGTGCTATTTTAACAATAATTGTTAAATTTGGATAATTGAAATAAAAATTTTTGTCTGTATCCAAAATGTGTTTCCACAATTGAATAAAATGCATTTCAGTGTTTTTATAGGGATGCAGATGGAGTTCCACTCTTCTGTGAGTTTTCCTTTTTCAACAATTTCACAAAATTCATCCCCGAATGATTTATTGTTAACAAAAAATGGAATTATTCTAATATAATAAATAAAAGTATGTCCTAATAAAAATAGAATTGTACCCAAAAACATCAATAAAAGTTGATAATAATAATAATAGATAATATTAAATCATAACTTGGTTACACTAATTGTCTGCACAAATCCTGCTCATAGATTATTGGCTACCTTTAATGTAACACAAGTTCCTACACTGTTCAGGGTTAAATTTATAACGCAGTGGTGACCTTCATTAATATTAATATTAGTAATAATAGCAATATTATATTAATACTGTAATAGCAATATTAATAGCAATATTAATATTATTAATATTAAAAGTGTTGATCATTCAATCTCTAAGCTTAAACTCAACAAACAATAATAAAGAAAAGTGAATATCTACAAATATTACAAGAGCAGAAAAAAGCAATTACTCTATGAAAAACAATCAGCAGAATTAGAAAATTATCAAGCTAAGCCCAAAACAAAATCGGGATTATTAAACTCTTGAGAAAGCAAACTTGAGAATAAATTGATAACTTTATTATAAGGAAAGCAAAAAATCCAAGCGCAAATTTAATACTCAAGTAAAGTAGAAAACTTATTTAAGGGAATTGATTTTTTTAACTAGAAAATAAAACAAATAAAAGCAGAGAAATATTCTCAAATAGATAGTACCAATAATGTTGTGTAGCTTAGTATGTAGATGGTATTTGTTATTTATGTATACTGGAATCAATTTTCTAATCCAAGTTCGGTAGCGCTATTTAATATCTTGGATATCCTCCAAAATTCAAAATTGAAAAAATTATCATAGTAACTCACGTGCATACAACTCTAAATCTTATCAAGTGGAATGGGTATGATTTCTAAGCACTTCACGATGAGACATGCATAGGGATGTTCTTAATAATAATTTCCAATATAACTTGTCTCTGACAAAAACTTTTAGTGTATGTCGGATTTAATTTCATTATTAAATGCTGCTAATAAAGAAATTTTGGAATGCATATCTATTTTATTATCATGTTAATTATTTATTAACTATCTGGCAATTTGATAATATATATTTTAACATTAGCATTATTTATTATTAACTGAGTAAGTGAAACTGATTATTTTTTATACGTTTGAGCAACATGTGCAGATTTCTATTTTTTTTTTTTTCAAGATAATATAAATCTACCTGATTATTTTTTGTTTTAAAATTAAAATTATCTTGAATAAAATGACATAAAAATAGAATATACATTTAACCAATACAAGTAATCCGTGTAAAATTTATTACATTGTAAATATTTTATGTTTTATAAAGGTTGTTAGCGTGAATATATTTGATTACAGAATTAGGAAGCAAATATTTGATTGACATTTCACGCTTGACAAATAATCTATCATTAATATAAAAATTAATATGAAATTTCAAAAAAATATATTACATAATATATGTAAACTTACCGAACTTTTGTTGAACTAATATCATTATAAATCAATTGTTTAATAACATAAACATTTTTCTATATAATTTAATAATTAATCATTAAAAAAAATCGCCAATTAATTTTCACAGTAAATTATTTTTATCACTCACTATCATTCATTACCAGTGTTAACTTACTCGGTGTTTATAAAGCATATCATGTGAAAGTAAGAACCCCCAAACATCGGATCCGGTTCTTTCTACTATCAAAACTCCATAATTACCTAAAATATGGTCCAACTAAATGGGATCATGAAGGAGAAAAATATTATTATTATTTTGGATAAATTTGTAATTTTTTAGAATATATTCCAAACCAATAAGTCAATGTATATATATACGGATATTCATTTGTTTATTTATTTACATCATCATCTAACCAAAGTTTTGGAATCTTAAATGACTCAATAAGATCACCACCAGCCAAAAGTAAGATTTTAACTGGGCGACGTTTACCTATATACAATAATACAAAAAAAAACAACAATGTAAACATACAAAAATCATATATGCACATATTAAATTGCATAAATACCATCTGGCATCATTACACCACCACGTTTCTCATTGATCTCTCCTTTGAAATGATCAAGAACTAATGCAGTCCTTGTATAAGTATCTTGTAAGGTCTCCCATGCATCCACCATTAACCATGTAGAAGTCCTTTCCACAGCTAACTCACACATGCGAACTCTATGATAAGATGGTGCAAGTCCATCTTCTTGGTAATGATCTGACACTGGTGAATAATAACCGCCAATTATTTCAAAGTTTGTGTTTTCCAAAATATAATCTTTTGCCATTTCTAACATCCGACCAAAGAAAAGATAATAAAATCCACTTAATGTATTTATTTATTTATAAATTCGCGAGAAAAAGTTTTTTGAAATAAAAATCAATTACCAAAGATTCGAAGGTGCAAGTATGTTATTGGAGAAAATGAGCCACATGCAATGATTGCTACAGGCTCTTTCGTGCCATCTACGGATATTGATAATAAGTAGTAGTAATAAAACTAACTAGTAGGTAAAAATAATGTGTATAAATTGTAGGAGACAAATTCATTGTCATTCTAATCAAATAAGGAAAGTTTTTGTGTATTGTATTCAATTCATTGATATTTTAAAACAATTGATTTCAATAAATAAAAACCAATTTTTAATTTTTTCTTGTGTTTTTATATATCTTATAAAAATGTTGAATTTGAAAATAAAAATATTACCTTCAATACAAGTTTTAAGTCTATGAGAGGGAAAAAAATAGTCTTCTAGTTTTACTGATTGTGGTTTTATTGTATGATCATCTTCTTCCAGTTCAGTAGCAGATGAAGAAACATTTTGAATCTTATTGTACATAATTATTAAATAAACGAAGAAATCAAGGCTGTTATATAATATTGGGATTGGGACTGCCGATTTAAATTTAACAAGTTACCCTTTTTCTGGTAGAGATTAACAGGTCATATGATACTATGTAATATCTAACACGTGATTTATAAGAGCTAATCCCATCAAACACAATTAAAAATGCAGCTTTTAAAGAGAGGAATCTTTTGACACCAAGATCTTATAGATCTATCATCAATTAGAACTTGAGATAAGGCTGTGTAACAGGCAAGATTTACAATTTCCACCCTGATACAGGATATTAATGAGTGGAAAATTATATGGGATATGCATTTTCAGATGTAACATGTTGTAATTGGTGAATATATTTATTATTAAAGGTCCAATATTCAACCAATGGTTCTGGTGGCATGCCAAATATCCAAAATTGCCCTTTTTTTGGAGGAATATCTGCTAAAAAAAAATGAAAGAAAGTGCCAAGGAATTAAATTCTGTCGGTTTACAAGTCCTGAACTAATTGACCAAGTACTTTGATTCTGAAGTTTTCAAACAGTATAATCAACAGCAAGATGATGTAAATAGATTATTTCTAGCAGCAAGGGAACCAGTTTGTTCTTTTAAAATTAATGATATACCGTAACCTGTGATGGTGGTCTTCGTATTGGAAAAAATAAACAAGAATAATATTTCATCGGGTGTGAAAAATATCATCAAAATAAAAATAAAGCCAGAAGAAGCAGACATTTCTTTGCTTCAAGATTTGTTTACAGGTTTTGCTCCATTAAGCAGTTATATAAATTGCTTTTATAAGGAATATCCCAACGTAATGTGATGGTTCCTAGAAATTGCAAACGGAAGACATGTGATAATATATATACATAATAATAATACAACTTTTTTATTTAAGATGTGCCTCATGTTAATGATGGAAGTGTAAAAATCATGTCCTGTTCATTAAAATTATTCCTCATAATATAATTCAATGTCTTTTTGTTGCTCTTATATGTATTGGGATTTCACCACCTCCCCAAAAATGCCATCAAAGAAAATGATATTTGTACACCAGGTTCAATATTATCAGGTATTTTGCATTCAAAAAATAATTTTTATTTAAAATTAATAGGGAAGCATATTTTAATAAAGAAGCTTTGTCTAAAGTCACATGTTTCATTAAACAACATTGATAAATTGCGTTATTTAATTGGTAGAAGCTGAAGCAAAAAACATAGAGGCTGAAGCTAAAACTTTAACATTAGAAATTAATAGAAATAATCAGATATATGATTGCTCAAAAACTCTTGTCTAAAGTTCAATTAAAATTTTAAAACCCTTCCACATAATGTGTGAATGTACACGCTACTCCCATTTGATTAACAACCTTTTTTACTGTTTCCATCACTATTTTTCTATATCGTTCAAATATTCAGCAATGTGTTCAACTATCTCTGTAACTCTGCTTCTTGTGCAAATGCATTTCTTCTACCTTTTTTATGGGATGATTCTGTCGTACCTTCTTCTATTTCAGCCCACCTACTACTTTCGGAGATTGAAATAATACAATGTAGTTTAGTTAAAAGTTAAAATAGAGCCTTGTTCTGAGTCTCAATTTCTTCTGCTGCCATCTCTCTATTCATTTTTTCTAAATTTAATAATATAGTAATACTAATAGTAGAACACAAAACACGAAAAAAAAATTAAGGCGCGAGTATTGTACAACCCCTCAAAATTTGAATTGGGCCAGTCTCTTCAGTCCCTAGTACTAGGGTTTTTACTATTAATGTATTATAATTACCATCCCACTGTAACACCCCCAATATGAGTTGCATAGTGTTACCACAAAATACAAAATTTTGGATTTGCATTCACAAATTCTTTTCAAAGTGTCATTTACATTTACCGATTTTTACGGAAAAACCAAACAATTACTTTACTTATCTTGATGGATAATAATAATCAGGCGATCAATAATTCTTTCACTTCAAGACCTCAACAATGGAAAAAACTTCAAGAGATCGTTTGTACTGTAAATTCAGATGCTCGTGAAAAATTGTTAACTTTTATGCATAAAGTGTAAGTTTATAAATTAAATACTTGGTTTTTATTTTTATCATAATGATTTTCTTTTAGTGGATTTTATAAAAAAAACTTTTTTTCAGTTCTTCGGATGGCGGTGAAGTTGATCATAGAAAAACTTTTATAAAAAATTATCTGATGCCACAACGTCAGGTTTATTTGAAACTTTTCTCATTAGTTAAATGGTCTGAAAATACTGAAATATTGCGTGATTGTGAGGTAATGAAATCTTTTTATAAAATGATTTTTTATTTTGAGGGTTTTTATAAACAAAATTCTTGTCAAATTTTCAATAGTTGTATTACAGAAATTTACAAAACCAAAAAGAGACAATAAATAATTTAGTGAGAAGTTTTCAACATCTTGCAGACTTTGTGCCACAATCAAGGTAAATAAAATTAATGATAATCCAGGAATTTTTGTTTGTTTGTTCGAGAAAACCACCAATCTAAATATCTAATACTAATATACTCTTGTATTTTAGTTTACGTGCACCAGATATTTGGACTGCAATTGATGTTCTTACAACTGGAACTTATCAACAATTTCCCACAATAATTAAGGTTTATTATTAATAATGGTTAATTTTGAGAGGATATTTATAGATTTATATTTAAATTAAAATATGATTTTGAAACAGGAACTTCATGCCCCCGAATATTTATCAGACAAAGCTGTTAAAGAAGTATTAGAAAATTTAAATAGTGTAATCAATTTGCGTATATTAACTGAAGAAATAATTCCTGAGCCAATGAGGAAATATAAAGTTGCTGATGGAAGAATCAAGTTTCATGTTGATAAAGAATTTGAGGTAGGAATTTTTAATTATCTAATTTACAAATAAATTATTGAATTTAATAAATGTAATAATGTTATATAATAATTTATCGATAGGTTGTGTTGACACCTAATGATCCTTTGCCTGATTCTCTATGGTTTATTGTGGATTTAAAACTATTTATTCAATCTGAAGCTGATACACTTTATCATGGTATCAAATCAACTTTAGTCTACCATTGATTATTATAATTGGGATAATTACTATTTTATTTCTGGTAATATTACTAAAGTTGATACACTTATTTGTAATAGATATAGAGTTATCAAGTCATGAAAATCAAATTGCTTTTCTTATAGATTATGCCCAAAAAGGATGTTTGAATCCACCCCACACCTTACTTCCAGAAAAATCACCATCCTCTTTACAAGTAATGAGCAATGGATCACAAAATGAATCTTCACAAAAACCAGCCAAACATCTTCCACTAGTAAAATTATATGATTGTTTACGTATCCTAAATTTTTTAGTTTTTAAATTTTTTTTTAGTAATAAATTCAAAATATAAATCAATAGATTCATTTATATGCGATCCATAATATCTTTAAACTATTATATGCCTTCAGATACTTTTTGCTTAGACTTACAATTGGATGTTTTAGCACAACAGGTATTTACAACAAATATAATTTATTTTTTAATTATTTAGTAACATCATATTTTAAATTTTATTTAGACCCATCGATTATTTTTTACTAGATGGTCAAAGAACATAACTTATACAGTAAATGAAGAAAGGACTTCTTTGAAGATTTCTTATTGGAGGTGAGTTATAATTATTAAATTAAATGATAAAATCAATATCATTGTTTTAATTCCCAAATATTTTTTAATAATCATTTATTTCATTAAAGTGCAATGACAAATATGTTATCAGGTATGAATAAAACACCTTTGATATTTCACTTATTCAAATAAGATCAATTCCAAGAATGATTCTTTTCAACTAATAATGGTAAATAACACAAGCCCAACCTAATCGACACAGTAATAATGCATCTGTTCAAAGGCCTCAAACACAAAACATCATTGAAATATACATTACTGAAGACATACCAAAACATTCATTGATACATTCTTCAAGAAAAAATTTGGCAAAATATCATTGGATGACCAATACATCCAACCTAAAGCCTGGGATTTTAAATTACAATAACAGACTCAATTATCCAATAAAATATTTACAAGCTCGTTGGACAGGTTTAACAACCATTGGTGATGGTGACGGTGATGGTGCAGTTGGTGAAAAATGGGAACTTTTAGATTGGGAATTTGTAAGTTATAACCTTATATATGAATATTTTCCCTACGAATATGTATATTATATTAAACTCTGTCCTTACCTTTTTTTTAAAAAAGAATCCCGCAGATTTGAATGTTGAGCATTTGTTACTTTCGGTCACACAAAAACATGCTGAATTTATTATTTGTAATTTCATGGAGGAAACACTTGGAAAAGATCTTTTTTCTCATGGGGATGTGGAAATTGTGAAAATTGAGAAAGGTATTGATTGTTAAATCGGCAACATTATTTATTAAAAATGATGATGATGATGATGATGATGATGAAAATTGATTCAACTTTACTGATCTTATTTACCTATCTATTTATTAGCATTCTATGAAGAACTCAATTCTGAAGATGCATCAATTTCAGATACTAAAGCAAAAAAATATTTAAAGGTTCCTTCACTTCGTGTACGATTATCTGAAAATAGATATGTTTTTATTAGTGTGGACATACGTAGCGGTAGAATCATTATTGAGGAAAACAATAAAAGTATAGATGAAGGTAGTTTATTTACATGTAAAATTAAGTCTCTATGTATATATATATGTATAATTTTTTTTTAAAAAAATTTATATTCCTATATTTTAGAAAAAATCAAAATGTGTGAGGAAAAACTTAGTCATGTATCTAGCAACGTTGTTGAAGTTCTTATGATGTTGAAAATTATGACAATGCTATTTCAAATTGAAAAGGCTGCAAAATATTTGCAATTTGATGTTCATCGTGGAATAATATTACGGAAAGAAGATATTGCTAAATTAGGAACTAATCAAATTCAAATTTTATATTTAAAATTCCAAGAATATTCCAACTACTATCTTATATGTGGAATTGTGGATGGAAAATTGAAATACTGGTTGACCACTTTAATGTGAGAAGTTTTTTTTCTTACATGTGTTATTTTTATGGAACAAAAAAATTGTGAATACTAACTTTTAAAATATTGATTGAATTTAGTAATGTGCCATCTCCCACAAGATACAATATAGTACAAATTACTCGGGACACAACACACAAATTGGGCTCAATTTATCCAATACAATTAGATGAACTACTTTTAGACGAATCCAAGGGTTTGGACGATGACGACGACAACGACAACGACGATGATGAAATTAACTCATCAAGTAAAAAGAGGATATTAAATGATGAAAAGGATTTAGAAAAAATATCTTTAAGAGAAGAAAAGGATTTTTTGAAATTAGTAAAAAGTAACACGAGTTATTCTGAGGATCAAAAGGAATTAATGAAAAGTATTTCACAGGCACATGAAGGGTAGGAGTTGTGGTCTATTTAATCGATATTCCATTTAAAAACATTTTAAGCTTGTTAATAATAATGACAAATATTTTTATTTTTAATTACAAAGGCTTGAAGGAGAAATAATACTTCTTGCCAAAGTCACTGCACTTTGTCGGTAATTATTTTTCATTTAGTAATATCAATGTTTGTTAGCACTTGTATTAGTATTAGTAATAATAATAATAATTGATTATTTTTATTGTATAGAGCTCGAATATCCTATCTAGAAATTGAATCACAGCTCAAATCGCACAATTTAACATTTTTCAGCTTTAAGCCTAAAAAAATATCAAATTTTATTGATTCGAACACAGTTTTATCATTGTCAAAGATTATACCTATTTTAAAATTAAGTAGGTCGCAACTAATATCAAAAACCCCTATGGCCATTGATGCAAGCTTTAAAATTTTTGATGATGTTTTGATAAGATTTGTGGGCTCCCGTAAGCAAAATTCAATTGATTGCTTGGTTAGTATTAAATAATTGAAATTTAAAGTTAGTGATTGATCAGTTTGGTTATTATATAAACGTTTGAATGTTCAATACTGTTTAATATCATTATTTAGGTCGTTATGTGCACTCAAATAAACACAGATTTTTTGCCTACAATAAGCGACAATATTTTATTCGGTTTGTATTTATTATTTGTTTGTTATATATTTATTTTTTAGTATAAATATTATTAACTTTATGAATTATTTTAGAAAATGTTCATTATAATCATGTTTCAAATGTGTTGTCTTTCAGATATAGTGATAAAGATCTTTATATTAAAAGTTTTTTGAATGATTGGCAAAGAATTGTCATGATGTGTCAGGCAGCATCTCAATGTAATATAAATACATTCATATATATTTGTGTGATATTATTTTCTCTAAAGTCATTTAATTCTCATTGTTTACTTACATATCAAATTTGAATTATTATAATATCAGTGAGTTCACAAAAATGGAAGAATCACAGTATAGTAAAATTCGAACCATTCGATTTTAAAACTTTCAAAGTTATATATAGTAAAGTAAGTGTTTGATAATGTTTTACCTATATTCTTTTAAATAGTTTTTGATTTTGAAAAAATTGGCATTTTAGGATTATTTTGTTGAAATAAGTTGGAAAAACAACAAGTATTCACTTAACTTTGATGTCATCAACAAAAAGAAAATTCGTAATCCACACAGACGCATATCTATATTTCTTCAAGATATTCTCAATACTGATTGTGAAGTTGAACCATTAATAACTGTGAGAAAATTATTATTGTTATTACTACAATTTTTATTTGCGATTTTTTTTACCAATTACTAAATTATTGTTTTATTGTATGTATATAATTTTCTCGGATTTAAATAGATTTTATTAAATACTGTAAAATTATTATCTGCTTTAGATATCCTTGAATTTAAAAATTCATCGTTAAAAAATGGCAGCTCTTTAGTGATTGTTACTCGATCATATAGACATTTTCGTTTAATTTGGTCACCTAGGTGTGAATATATATAATATTCTTATTTTGTTAAATTTATATCTAATTAGATGTAATAACGCTTATTTTAATATAGGTTGTTGCCATTTTCAACAGAGCCATTGGTTAAATATGGCTTGGAGGTAGAAATACAAAAAAATAATCAAATCATAATACATGATTCTGGGCTGTCATCTTCACATTTAAAATCTACAAAAACTTTGCCTCTATGGAAAAATATTATTGAGACACTTATAAACTATGATGATAACAAGGATAATGGTCTGACAACGAATGTTAATGGTATAATTCTACTAGATAATGGATTTATTCTACCTACTGATGAAATATTTGAAAACTTGATAAATTGGTTAGACAATCAAATAAGAAATCTTACGTCATAAATCCTTGATTTGCAAAATTTTCATTTTATGGAATTCAAACAATTTGTATATATATTTTCTATGCTATTCCTTTCCTACTCCTATCCGCTCAAAAATTCCTTTATTTCCAACTAATTTGGTTAATTTAGAAAATATTAATTTTTTTATTCATTTTTTATTGTTCACTTTTTATTATTAATGATTTTTATTAAACGATTATTAATCTAATTCGGTACATAGTGCTAGGATGCCATATTCATTTTTATTAAGCCAAAATGTTTTGCTTGTCAAAGTCGAAATTATTCCAATGTCAAAGTCAAAAGTATTTATGACAGTGTCAAATAAGTAGTGAAACTCGGAGACTGCACTGCAAGAGTCCCACCAGCTTATACCAATTATAAAAGCTGCTTACCAGCTATTACTTGCTGACTAATTTTCTGGCAGAGTGTCTCTTGTTTACTCCCAGTTGCACACGATTTATTTGCAGATGGTTTCTGGTTGAGTGTCTCTTGTTTTCTCCCAGCTGCACACGATAATTCCAATATAATATATACAAGAAATAAAGAAATATATACAACTATGCTACTTGAAGTGTCCTCTACAAATAATCACAGTAAAAGAAAAAGGCATCCCAACTAATGATTAATGGTTGGCCAGACCATCAATCATCGGGGGGAGGGGAAATTTGACACAATTTGCAATAGTTTTACTAACTATGCATAAATAAAAACATACATCTCAACAATCGCATTGAAATTAGATAAAAATAGATTCATTTGAAAGCCCATTATTTATTTTATTAGATGTAAAAAAATTAATAAGAAATTCTATCTCCATTTTTTGTAATATTAATTCACAACGATTTTTCATAGATTTAATTAAATTTTGTACAGTTTCTTGGGGGATTCTTCAACCATAAATTGTTTCAACTCACTAGTATTTCCTGGCATTCTTCTTTCTACATTATTTTTTACGATCTGCCACATATTTTCAATGGGATTCAGATCAGGACTGTTGGATGGCCAGTCTAAAACATGAATATTATTTTGGGATAAAAAGTTTTTTGCAACACGCGAAGTGTGCTTAGGATCATTATCTTATTGCAAATGCCCTTAGCTTCAAAATGACATCTTGTTTTTTGATCATGCATTTCCATTTTTGGAGGAGTTAAAGTATCTGCAAGGCCAATAAAAGTTGTAGGGACTAGGTGTCCTGCACTGTAGAAGATATTTTTGCAGATCGTTCTATAAGATATTTTCTCCATTTTTTAGTAATAAAAAGGTTTGACATTTCACTGATTCATAGACGAATCGTCAATTAAATTTTATTCATTAATATCTAAATTTTGAGGAATACATTGATGTGATTTTAACTGTATATAAAGGCACGAGGTCCAGTCAATCCTTATTATATGCATCAGTGAATTGCCAAGAATGCCTTGCATATTTTCTGATTTGTTCTAAAGACATTTATTCAAGAACTGCTGGAATAGTTTTTTTTAAAATTCCTCTATTATATTAAAGACTTTATCTATCAACAGAATTAATTTTTTTAAATATAAGGTAGTCTATACTTTTAAAGTTTGTACAAAAATTTAGGGGGTCTCTGATATATTTTTAATTGTTTATGAATTGAAATGATAGTAATAATTATTAGTTATTAATTGAATATATTTATTTACGATTTTATCTTTATTTCATTTTTAAAGAATATTCATTTGACGAAAAACATAGCAAATTTCTTGTGATCATTGGCTGGAAAGATTTATGTCAGGACATAGAATTTTTCAGTCCCAACAATCTGTTGGCTGCTTTGGTAACCAATCTGAAAGGAACAAATCTGGATGATTGTTCCTCTAAAGTTCCTTACGAAAAAGGATTCAATTTCTTTATTACATCAAGAAATTGTTCGAGGACTGTCCATATTCAAACCGTACATGAAAGCTCATATGGAAAAATTCACTGATAAATCGACCACCAAGCAGGATGTGAAGGATTTTCTATATTCATACATGGAAACCAATCATGGAAAGTTAAATTGGATTTGATCAATTGGAATAGTTGGTTATATGCTTCGGGAATGGTAATTATTTCTTGATGTTTGATTTTTAGATCAGTTTTAATTCAATGATGATGATATAATAATAATAACAATAATATTTTATCATTATTAACAAACCTGCCTATCCACACATCGTAAATTTGTATATGAACAAGGAATAATGAAATACGTCGTAAATTATATAGATAAGGACTAATCGAGCCTCTTTTGTATTGTAATAAATCCATAAATGTCCCTTTTTTTTCAGAAGAAAGGGTGAGGTAAAAACTGAACATTAATTGGTTGATTTAAAAAAAAAAATAAATAAATTTTAGATTATTAAACAGAGCTAAAATGTACAAAGAAAACTTTTTTTTGAAAATTGATCATTTTATCATCCTATCGCTGCCACAATGATTGCTAAAGACATTTTGGGAGATGAATCTTAAATTGATTAATTAGTTGATTGTTTTGCTGGCTATTATAAAAAGGTGCCATGTTATTATTTTATATTTATTATTACATTCCATACACGTAATAATTAAAGTTGGTTTCATTCATAGTTTATTTATTTTTAATGTGAATTTTTTGACAGACTCTCTAATTTTCCAATCTAATTATATATAATTTATATTACATCAAGTTTTGTTTTAAAGCTTGATTAAACAACAAATGATTTTGAATTGAGGAAAGCTTGTGTAATAAAATAATGATTGTTCATGTGCTACTCAGTTACTAGAATGGTAATTCGTAAATCATTTGAATTTTTATATATTATATCGTTTTTAACTCGTTTAACTTCAGGTGTTTCAGATGTTTCTGGTGGAGGTGATGATGCTGGTGATGGCGTTGAATATCTTTGTTTCATTAATTGAATTAATTTATTATCAAGCCATAATAAAGTATGCTATAAGGGAAAAAAGATGCAAATATTATGCTTAGAAAATATACAAATCCAAACAGTCATGTGAATAGTAAAGGAAGTACATACGTGAAGCCCGAGCAAGCCTCTAATAAAATCTATTAGAAGGTTGTTCATTTCTGAAAGAGTTTTGGGAAACACCAATGTTGTCATCTCATTAAAATAATAGAAATTTGTTGGTGAATGATAAATCATCGAATATACCACCCATCAGTAACCTGCCAATTTCATTAGATAAAAGTAAAGACTAGTGCTGTAAATTATACTTTTTTCCTTTTTTGGATTACGGCACTAGTCTTTAGATAAAAGTGAAAAAAAGTCCACTTAAAAGAATTTCAAAAAAAAAAATTTGCACATTACGTACAATTTACTTGTATTCCAACCGCAAAGATATTCTCAAAATCTTTCTTTTTTAAATGTAACACATCACATAAATTGTCTTCAGTTCTATTTTAAGTCCAGTATGGTCTTCAGATGCTTTTAGATCATCATGTGACATTTCGGTATTTCCTGCTTCCAATGCCAAAATTTCTACATTATCCCTTAAACGGTTTTTCGGCTATTGATAGCCAAAATTTTTTTCTGTTACAAAAAACTTTTTCTAAAGGTATTACTTCCTAATACGAAAATGATCTTTGAGATTCAGCTGATTGGTCCGAATAAAAATTCAGTTGTTGTCCTTGTGGTTTTCGTAAAATCTTCCTTAAAAGTTGGTCGATTGACTATTTTTACTTTGCAGATTGTTAAATTGGCCAATAAGAATGCAAGATCAAAAAATTACTACTAAAGAATACTTTGACCATTTAAGGGATAATGTTGGAGTTCAACAATCATATCTAATTTTGTTGAACTATTTCCAAATAAAGTGTACTCGGGGTGGATTTTCGTCTCTTTCTTGCATTTGTTTGATTCAGAGATTTTTTCAATCCTAAAATATTTGATAAAATTTGAAAACATGATAAAATTTTCACAAACATTTAACCTCTACAAATGACTCAAAAATAATAACCCAAAGACTTCAAACATGTTGCCAAATTCCTCAAGTAAATCGGTCATCAAAGAAAGTATTATTATTGAGGTGTAGTCTCTTTCGCGTAAAGGCATTGACAAATGATTAATTTCACATCGAAAATTCATATGACTATAGAAAAAAAATACCATAGACAACCATTAGCATTATTCTTAAGGTAAAATCAACACATAATACAAATCTTACAAAAAATCTAGGATCAATGAGGTCAAAACTGCATCTTCAGAGTCTACAATTTGTGCTAGCTTAGACTTTAACTCTTCTAAATTTTTTAAATTTTTCTATAACATAGACAATATTAGTCAACTTTTATGATAATATAACTTCTGTAAACATGAGAGTTACTTGTACCAGTACTAGCCCATTATCATTTATAATTTTTAATACATTGTTATCTATCAAATTTTTTAATATTTTTTTCCAAAAAGTGCGAGTCAGCATATCTCTGTCCTCAGCAGAGTTGGCAAATGTGTGGTCCATTGATGGTCTATTGGTGGTCCATTGGGTCCATTAGTGTAACACTTTAACCATATTTAGTATTTTATTAATAGCAATGGACCTGTCCAAAATCCATCTGTTCTCAATGGATCAGCCAATTTGCCAACCCTGCTATCATCATTATGAACGATTGCTATTACCAATGTTGTTGTCGATAATTTATTTCTTATCGCCTATTCTTTTTATGTATTAAAATATCAGTTGAAATGGATAGGATGAAGAAAATAACATGATTGTAAATATTTTGATGAAAATTAAATTAACTAATTTTCTTACTGAATATTTTTTTTTATGAGGGTTCTTTTCAGTAAACCATCATTTTAAAAAAGTTACTACTATATGATCCTGAAATATTAAAGAAAATGCTAACGGATTTGTAATGTCTGTGGTAAAAATTAACATATTACCCTTTGGATTATTTAGATTTCCTTCAGATAATAAAACAAATCATATATTAATATCTGATTGCCGATCGAATTACCCTAAAATGTAATATTTGGAATTTGATTTGTTCGTGTCGCGTTTCTGTACTATATATACTGATATAACAATCCTATTCATTGATTTTATTTTCATAGCTGCAATATTACTATTACTACCTACCACCACTAACATCACTACTATTACTACAATTAAAGGCAAGATTTTGGAAATGTATATTCTTATTACATTAGGTTTATCTTCTTTATTTAAATCCAGTATTGGGTGTAGAGACCTCTTTTTGAGTAGTCAGTCCTCTCCAAGGGTCTGTTTGCAACCCTTATGGAGTTACCCAGTCTCTTTGCTCAAATATTATAATAATTTGAGGTTTTTGGGTGTATTGCCTCTTGAATTTCCATTTTATATTTCTTATTCAAGAATTCAATTCTTGATTGATGTACACTAAACTTTTTTTTATATGTCCCCATTTCTTTTTCTTAAACTTGTCTGATCACTTGATTAAACCCTTTCCATTTCATATTTCAATATTATTATTAGATGCCCAGAGCTGAACTTTACACAAATAGGACGTTACTAGCCTTAATTGTAAAAATAAACGAATACATCATTATCTCGACTATCTTGAGGGTAACATCTTAATCTTAACACATATATATATACATATTAATATATATCTTATTATTATAAAATTTTAATTTTTTTAGGGTCTTTTCTATCCTACAATTTACAATCCTGTTCGTCATTATGAAATTCTTCAAAATTTATTTCATCTTAGACGAACAATAACTGATGGCGATGGAAATTTATATGAAATAACAGAGGAATGGGATAAAATTGAATTACAATACCTTCAATTTATCATAAATGAAAGTTCTGCTGATATTCGAATCCAATATTACCGTTATTTTATAATGAGGGGTTCTTTATATATAATGCACTATATATATAATATATATTTTGGAATTAAAAATATTTTTTTTTAAATATGTATCAGTCAGAGTTTTGAATTGCCAATATTAATCTAATCAATCCAATTAATCCAATTAATTTCAACCTCAACAATTTCAGAGCTCAAACTTGTTAAAAGCCACAGAAAACATTAATCAATTAAAAGATTGAATAAATGAGCGTTAAATAATAATAATATATCCGCTTAATAAGAACAAAATTCAATGTAGCAGTATTACTATTTCTTCAAATGAAGGTAAATAAAAACCTTTTGAAGCCTATGTTGCTCGATTCATTCAATGTAAAGTTATATTACTTGAGATTTCGTGAAGTTGTAATTGTGCAGTCCTCTCAAAGAAGGATAAATAAATGGTCACACATTGCTGCCGATCCTAAAGATGCTTTGGTTACTAGGATTTATAGAAGTTTTAATTATAAAAAAACTCGTTGTTGTGAATATGCTTTAAAAGTTGCCTGAAGGCCAAATAGTTTCAGGTCATTAAAAACATTTCAGGTCACATTGATTTTCGTAATGTTTATTTTATCCAAAGTAAAAAAGAAAAAGGTTTTAAAGATTGGGAACATTTGCGCTGAGATCTATCATACTGCTGGTAAAATGTTTAACAGTATAATGAACAATCATCGTCTTTCTACAAGGCTTGATGCTGAAATTGATGAAGTATTAAATCTACCCACGCTCCTGTGATGTCCTTTCACTGAATATGCCATAGCTTAGGCAATGAATAAAAATATAAGATAATGCTAATTTAAATTTCACAAAATTTTATAATACATTTTATTATTATTATTATTAATATTAATGTGGTACAAATTGAATTAAAAAAATTAAGTTAAATATAAAAGATTTGTAGTTGAATTTGTGGTTGAATTTGAAAGAGAATTTGAAGTAGATGTCGATGCGTTTATATTTGTGGGATTGCTATTATTGCTGTTGTTGTTGTTATTATTATTATTATTAATATCAATATTATTAATATCAATATTATTACTGCCACCACCAAAACCACCAACATCGCCGCCACCACCAACATCGCCACTGCCACCAACATCGTCATTATCATCACCTTCGCCATTTCCATTGCCATTAACATTAACATTGTTATTAGTTTCGGTTAATTCGGCAGATGTTAAACTTTTAATCTTGGGATATGTTACTTTCTCATCTAATTCATCTTGAGCCCAAACCAACATTTTTAATAAATTTGGTAATTTTGGATCTTTTTCTTGACTTTGTGAAGTTAAAATTGCGGCATTTAGTTCACTAGCTGTACGTAGACGTTGTGATGGGTGAAGTAAATCTCCTACAGGGGATGTGGTTGTGTCATCAAACGCTAACAATGCCATTGATCTCTCGAGTTCTTCAAGAAACTCAGGCTTTTATATTATATATATCAATTAGTTACGCGCGCACATATTTATACAATCTATCTTATATTAACAGACGTATTTGTTTGAATTGTAACCTACATTCTCTTCTCCTAGAGGTGCTAACTCATCTTGTGCGAATTCTAAAGCTTCAGATACTCTTCCTTGTCTAATATATTCTATTAATCTTTGTTGTTGAAGATGGAAATATAATTTTGGATTTGTATCTAATATCTGAAGACATTCAAAAGGAACGAAGGTAAGAAAAGGAATAAATAAAAATAAAAATAAAAGCGGTAGTGAATTAATATAATAATTTTATTATATTGACTCATGTTGAAGACTGAAAAATGATTTTTATCTTCATCGACCATAATGGTCTGAGAGCGTTACAAGAACCATATTCTAATCATTGTCGCTTATATATATATATATGTTTATGCACCTTTTATAGAGAGCAATAAAAACAATTATAATTATAACACTTGCCTCTGGATTTAAATCATTTACACGTTCAATTGCTTCTTCAACATTACCATTTTGAATGGCATTTTTTATATTCATTCTATCATTTATCGAATCTACATCAATGCTTGGTGATATGCCACATTCTTGACTAAATGTTTCAGCTGCATCTTTATATCCTTCAATCACAAAGTAATTCATAATAAGTTTATTTAAATCTCTATTAGTAAAAATTATTATTAGAATATTATTTTCAACAAATAATTTAAAACGGTATAAAAGGAATAATATATATTATATATATATTAATAATAATAAAACATACGATTTATCAATTTTAACTTCTGACAATTTTTTTACCCAGTCATCTTTTGTTACAAGCTTTTTCCTAGAGCTTGACTAAAAAATATTTTTTTTAAGAAGGCATTTAAATAATAAGAAAAATCATTCAGAACTCGTTGGTTGAATAATACTTGCCATTTTGTCAGCTTATATAAATTATTAATATTAATAAGTAAATTCGAGTGGAAAAAAAAGATCTATCTAATTTTGGAGGCAAAATGTCACACAAGTAATAGTATTTATCATCCCGCAGTAAAAAATGGACCCTTTTTTTTAATATTTAGTTACACGAGAACGTTATCGTCCATCTATCAATTATCGCAAGGCTTTAAAAAAAACAAAGCAAAAATGCTACTTTTTGACTCTGAAAGAAAACAAAAACATCAAGTTCGATATACCGAATTTCAAGCAATTGTTTTAGCAGGTTATGGTAACAGGTAATTAGTTTAATTGGTTCTTTATATATATACTATAATAATGAGGATATAAGGATATAAGGATAATAAGAATAATAAGGATAATGATATTTTATGTTTGGGTGTGGTAATCTATTTAAAGACTTTATCCACTCACCGAAGATAATAATGTTCCAAAAGCATTATTGCCGATTGCCAATAAGCCAATGCTTTACTATGTTTTGGACTGGTTAGAAAGAGCAGGAATTTTTGGTAAAACTTTTAATAATAATATAATAATTGTAGTTACTTGTAACAACGATACTTTTAGGATTAATTCTTTTTTTAAAAAAAACTATAATAATCAAATCTATATACATTTTCTTTTAAAGATGTAATCATTATCACGGAATCAAATGGAGAGTATAAGATAGGACAATATATTAAGAATGTGTATGAAGGAAAATTAAAACCGATTTTGGAAGTTGTGAAAGAAGATGTTGGTACTGCTGATGTATTAAGATGTGTGAAAGACAAGATCTATGTATATATATATATATATATTCCTATTTGTATATATTTCTTTTTTAAAAAGAGAAAAATATTAATAATAACAATTTTTATCATAGAATGATTTTATAATAATAAGTTGTGATTTAATTTTGGATTTGCCACCACATCAATTATTGGATTATCATCGAAAGCATAATCCTACTTTTACGGCACTTTATTCCGAACCAAAAAAATCAGAAGGTGTAACAGGAGGTAGCGGTGGAAGTAGTGGTTGTAAAGATGATGGTAAGTCTGTGTTTTTTCCTCTTTATATGTGAACTTTTTTTATTCTTTGTTAATTTAATAATTTTAATTACAAGTTAAGCAGTTTGTTGGTGTTGACGTAACAAAATCACGTTTAGTTTATCTTGCATCGAGTGCAGATTTGGATGAAGAACTTTCTGTGCGCATGTCACTATTATGGAAGTGAGCATATAATTTATATATATATTATTACTATAAATATTATCATGATTATTACTATCAAATAATAAGAATAATAATTCAATATATAAATATAATATAAATATAAATAGATTTCCACGTTTAAATATTCTTACAAAATTACAAGATTCGCATCTTTACATTTTTAAAAGATGGGTGATTGATTTAATCGTGAATAAAAAATCAATATCTAGCATACGTGAACAACTCATTCCATTATTAGTGAAATGTCAATATCAAAAAAAATTAATCGATAAAGAAGGAATCAATGAATGTAACCAATCATATGTCATTATCATAATTATAATTACTTTATTTGTTGATTAATTGATCCTTTGAAATAACAATAGTTGCCAAAACTCAAGATTCTCAAAAAGTAGCACTTGATTATTCTACAACATGGGTTGATGATGATGATGATGATGATGATGATAGTAGTAATAATAACAATACTAATAAATGCTCAACAATTAAATGTCAAATATATATTTATAAAAATGGATTTTGTGGACGTGGTAATACGGTACCAAAATATTGCGATTTGAATCGTCATGTATGTATATGCTATTATAAGAATAAGAAAAGGTTGTTGATTATTTGTTTATCTTTACTGAATCATTTATAAAAACATATATATTATAAAAATAGATGACTAAAATACGTACAGAAACTCGTGTCTCACAATCTGCAGTAATCAGCCCAAAAACACAAGTATTCCTACTTATATATGTTATATACATGTTTAAAGATCTATTCGTTAATTATTATTAATTCCTTTTCTTGTAGGTTGGATCGGATTCTTTGGTAGGTGATGATACCAAGATTGACGATCGTACCTCCATAAAACGATCAACAATTGGTACACATTGTGTTATTGGAAAAAATGTGAAAATATCAAATTCGGTTATAATGGATCATGTAATTATAGAAGACAAGTAAGGATTTAATTATTATTTAAATATTTATATATATTTATATTTGTTTTTTCTTTTTAATAAATACATTATTTTTCTCCTTTCAAAGTGTAAAATTGGATGGATGTGTTGTATGTAACAATTCAAAAATAATGGAAAAATGCCAATTAAAAGATTGCGAAGTTGGGGGTGGATATATTGTAGTATCCGAAAGTAAGTAAAAAAATCAACAGTAGTAATAATAATAATATTTTTATTTAAAAATTAATTTTTTTTTTAATTTAGCACAAGCGAAAAGTGAAAAACTTGTCGAATTTAGAGATTTAAGTTAATTTGGAAATAAAATATATTATTAACGTTAACACCTTACATATTATTTAAACACCTTATGTAAAAAATATACAAATAAATATTTTACGATGACATCACGTGTCCATTTTTTTAAATAAATATGGTTAAAATTTTTTTTACATTTTGAAAACATCATTCATATTCATTTCATGTGATCTAAAAAAAGGAAAAATGGTATTATTTTGATTTTCATTTTAAAAATTTTTTTATTTTAAAAAAAAAACCTTTACTTACGCGCTTAATTGAGGCTTTTGAGCATATTTTGCTTTAAGAATGTCTCTAATCGAGATTAACAGCTCTTTGTATGTAGGATGTGGATTCTGTGTTAAACTTTATAATAAAATAAAAAAATAAACAATATATTAAGTGTATTGCTTTGGGAAGAAACAAATAATTAATAGTATAATATAATAATATATATATATAAAACTCCATACGATTTAACCAAAGCGTGAGACATTGCACCAGTAGCTTGACCTGCTTCATGTGCATCAGCAGATGTTTGTTCATCTTTACACCTATTAATTTAAGAATTAAATTATTATTGTTATAATTCAAAAAATCGTTATAATCCCCTCCTCACTCCAATCGCCCATTTCGTCACCCTCCAATACACACCCACTAAACATTATAACATCAGCAGGACTCGCCCTTGTTTCTATATTTTTTCTACGAATTTTTGAACTAGAGAACGCATTCGACAGAGTATTTTTCAACCCTTCGACTTCTCCATGTAAATATTTTACACCAACCGAGAACACATTTTTTTTAAAGGAATTTGGACGTTTGATTACACCACGAGTTGAGTAGACGTATGGTAGATCGAGAACGGTTCCTGAATGACAACAATCAAAAACTACCGTTAATCTGACGCCTAAAAAAGAATAATATATATATATTAGGTTAGCTTTATGTTGGGAATATTGATTTAAAAAATAGATTTATTCATGAAATAATTACCAAGCGGAAGAGATTCTACCAGAATATGATGCATATCCTATTAACATGTAAAATTAAAGATTAAAATAAAGTAAAATTTAATTACATATGCTTTAAATCACATACATATACTAAAACACATATACCAAT